CGGACCCGGACAGTGTAATCAGCTCACCGAAGCCTCGAACTCCTGGGCCCAAATGATCTGTCTGCCTCAGCCTCTCAAATAAGGGAAACATACATATTTTATATAGATGGGTCAGTAGATAGGTAGATGGGATACATGATAGATAGATAGATATTGAAGATAGATATTGGAGATAAAGATAGATAAATAGATAGACGGATAACAGATGGATGAAGAGATCGATGGATAGATGATAAACAAATAGGTAGATTTCTGAGACAGATGAAAGACCAATGGAGATATAAGTATATAGAGAGTTAGATATAAATGTATCCTACTGGTTCTATTTAAAAAACACTCTCCGACTTAGATGAAAATCTATCTTATCAGTTCTATTTCAAAAATACTGGCCCAGCTGATGCATGTGCCGATCTGAAAGCTCTGCCTCCCGTAAGAGGTTTCAGTGTACGGTGGTCGAACAGATGAACCAATCCGTGCCACACATCCTGTGAGGGAATCAGGGAACTCCCCGGTTTCACATCTGGTCATAATGTACAATAGACTTGGAAGAGACTGTCTTGGACATATGTCACTTTCTTTTAACGTATTTTTTAATTGATGCACAACAGATGTACATAGCTTCAAGGTACATGTCATAGTTTAATGCATTTATATAATTCGTAAAGATCAAATCAGCGTACGTACTTGGAATATCCATCCAAACATTTGCCTTTTCTTCATATTAGAACCGCTCTCATTCTTCAATTTTGAAATATACAATAGATTATTGTAAACTAAAGTCACCCTGTGAATCTAAAAAACAGTAGTACCCAGTTCTTCTATCAAACCCTACACTTTTCTTTTCTTCCCCTCGATAAATAACATTTCATACACTGGCCTTTGGGATTCCGACTTCTGGTTTTATCGGCTGTTAGAAGACCACATTGTGTGGCGTTTTCCTTCACAACCCTCTGGATTTGACAGAAAATAACAGTTAAAGACAACAGAAACGTGAGCTGCTAGAATGTCAACCTCTAATTATTAGAAATATGTTATATTGTTATCTTGCTTTGTATTGATAATTTAGTCATTATAATTTTTTTACAGTACATTAACCATTAACAATAGTCTGTTCTCTTTGTTTTATATGAAGTTCTGGGATACATGTGCAGAACATGCAGACTTGTTACATAGGTATACACGTGCCATGATGGTTAGCTGCACCTGTCAACTCTCACCTAGGTATTAAGCCCCACATGCATTAACTATTTATCCTGATCAATACTCTCAATACTCTGTTTCCTTAAGTGCTTTGTAGCAATCCTCCCACCAGCCTTGCAGAATGTTTTTGGGGTCTTGCAAATGTGCCCCATCTCTAGCTGGTGATGGCTGGAGATGTAGCAGGGTCATCTATGCATGTAACTCATTACCGAGGACACACCCGGCTTCTGCATGCACGTCATCTCATTTACACAGAAGTGACCTGATCCAGACCTCACTTCCTTTCCTGTCCCTCCTGCGACCTCCCTATGGCACATTCCTTGTGTCAGAGGCAACGGAACCAGAACCACTCCACCTTGAATAGGGGCTGAGTAATATAAGGCTGAGACCTACTGGGCCGCATTCCCAGATGGTGAAGGATGAGATTGACGGTCTGCACAAGACACAGGTCACAGAGACTTTGCTGATAAAACGGGTGGTAGTGGAGAAGCTGCCAGAAACCCACTGAAAGCAAGAGTGACGAGAGTGACCTCTGGTTGTCGTCACTGTTACAGCCCCATCAGCGCCATGACACTAGCAAATGCCATGGCAACGTCAGGAATTCTGCATGTTCTAAAAGGGGAGGCATGAATAATGCACGCTTTGCTTAGTGTATCAAGAAATCGCCATGAAAGCAGTCCACTGGCAGCCTCGGGGCCGCTCTGGCGGTGGAGTAGCCGTCTATTCCTTTACTTTCCTAACAAAGTGCTTTTCACTTTATGCTTCGCCGTGAGTTCTTTCTTGCGCAGGTTCCAAGAACCCTGTCTTGCGGTCTGGACTGGGACCTCTTTCCTGTAACACTTGGAGAAGGAATGATTTCGATTTCCAGAAGACAAGGCTTGCGACAGAGCAGGATGCTCATGGGGGTCTTCCCAGAGAGACATGCAAGACAGCTCAGATTCTGCTGCCAGCTGCCCCCATCGAAATCCTCGGTGCCTCGGTTTACCCATCTGTGATGGTGAATACTACTGAATGTCAACTGGATTGGAAAGAAGGATGCAAAGTCTGGACCGTGTGTGTGTCTGTGAGGGCATTGCCGAAGGAGACTAACATTGGAGACGATGGAATGGAAGGGGCGGACCCACCCTCAATCTGGGTGGGCACCGTCTAGTCAGTTGTCACCGTGGCTACAATATAAGCAGGCAGGAAAAAGTCAAAAGAGAGACTGGCCTAGTCTCCTGGCCTACATCTTTCTCCTGTGCTGGAGGAGCCCTCGAACATCACACTCCAAGTTTTTAACCAGTTTTGGAACCTGGACTGCCTCTCCTTGCTCCTCAGCCTGCAGATGGCCTATTGTGGGACCTTGTGATCGTGTGAGTTAATACTTAATAAAATCCCCTCTCTCTATATATATTGATTCCATTAGTTCTGTCCCTCGAGAGAACGCTGACTAATACACCATCTGTAAAATGACATCAAGCATGACACTCCCATCATCGGGCTGAGGGACAATCAACTAAGTTAATAAACATGCACAGTGCCTAAGAAGTGCTGCTGTCATTCAAAGAATTTAGCACAGGATAGGGTGTGGTGGCTGATATTTGTGATCTCAAGATTTGGGGAGGCAAAGGCAGGAGGATCGCTTGAGCTCAGCAGTTCAAAACCAGCCTAGATAACATAGTCAGATCCTGTCTCTACAAAAATTTTTTTAAAATGGTCAGGCATGGTGGCAAATGACTGCAGTACCAGCTACTCTGGAAGCTGAGGTGGGAGGTTTGCTTGAACCCCTGGGGTGAAGGCTGCAGTCAGCTATGATGGAACCACTACACTCCAGTCTGGGTGACACATGGAGACCCTCCCAAGAGTTGGACAAATCATCTAGCACAAACTCTACTTTATAATGAGATGTTGCATCTCTCATGTAATTTACTGAATATTGTACTGAAACTGAAAATGAGAATGATTGTATGGGCTGGGCGTGGTGGCTCACATCTATAATCCTAGCACTTTGGGAGGCTGAGGCTGGATCACCTGAGGTCTAGAGTTCCCGACCAGCCTGGCCAACATGGTGAAACCCTGTTTCTACTAAAAACACAAAACTTAGCTGGGCATGGTGGCGGGCACCTGTAATCCCAGCTACTTGGGAGGCTGAGACAGGAGAATCGCCTGAACCCAGGAGGTGGAGGTTGCAGTGAACTGAGATTGTGCCACTGCATTCCAGCCTGGGGAACAGAGTGACATTCCATCTCAAAAAAAAAAAAAAAAGTTGTATGGGTACTGACAGTACAGTTTCAGTTTCTGCCGAATGCATACCAGTTCTGCACTATTGTAAAGTCGGAACATCTTAAATTGAACCATTATCAGTCGAACCATTGTAAGGTGTGAGCTGTGTGTAGGCTATACTTTGTAGAAGTTGACTTGCCCAAGGGTCTTTGGTTAACCTTTGGCTCTTCAGTGCTTTCCTGGGAAGGTGGGTTCACTGTTCAACATCTCCCTGTAAACAGAAACTGATAAATGCATTGCCGAGTCGTCCACTTACTAGCTGAGATCTCAAGACAGCAAGGATAATACAAAATTATTGATGCAGATCATAGATGAGGAACACCAGGGTCTGTTTATCCCAACAGTGCCTCCGCCCATAAGCGCAGGCTCCTACCTTCCTGACATCCAAATCCTTCAACAGGATAAACAGGAAGTGCTGCCTCAGGAGCATCTGAATGATGTCTTTTATTTCCTAACAGAAATACTCTCTCTCTCTCTCTCTTTTTAACAAATCCCTCAAGTTTTTATTGGCTCCCTTGTTCTTTCTTTTCCAGAGGTAAATTTTTAAAATATGTATATATTTTTTATTCTAATTTAAGTTCTGGGGTACATGTGCAGATCTTGCAGGATTGTTACATAGGTACACATACACTACATAGGTAGCCTGCCTGGTGGTTTGCTGCCTCCATCCCCCCATCACCTACATTAGGTATTTCTCCTAATGCTATCCCTCCCCAATCTCCCCACCCCCACTATCCCTCCCCTATTATCCCCTATTTCCCCACGCCCCGACAGGCCCCAGTGTGTGATGCTCCCCTCCCTGTGTCCATCTGTTCTCATTGTTCAACACCCACCTACGAGTGAGAACATGCGGTGTTTGGTTTTCCCTTATTGTGTCAGTTTGCTGAGAATGATGGTGTCTCACTCTTGAGATTCGCCTGAGTGTTCCCTTCTCTGGAATCGCCACATTAAAATGATCAGAGAAACGTACTCAGTTGTTATTCAAATCCTATACGTTATGAGTTCATTAGAGTTTCTCGCGCGGCACTAAAAACTCTGATCTTGGAGTGTGGGAGAGCCAGCCTGCAAGTTCATGTTGAAGTTTTTCATGTAAACATTTCAGGTGGTTTTGATTTGCAAGAAGGAATGACATTGTTTACGAAAAGGTTTAAACATCTGAACAAATGCAACCTTTCCGGCAAAGGAATCTCTAGTAATCTGTCCCATGGGGTACAGTCATTTCAACTCTATTTTTGCCATATGGAAATGGTCATTTTTGAATCAGAAGGAAATGATTGGCATTCCCCACATGCCCAGTTGTGCTTAATTCATGGAGCTAAATAGGCCATTTTTTTTAAACGCTTGGGACACGCAGATTGAAAGCAGAAAATTCGGTGAATACCGAAGTGCTATCGGCTAGCAGCGTGCCTTCGTGGATCTAATTCCCAAATCCCAAATTGGAGCAGCCAGTCTTCTCCCTCCCCTCTCAGCCACCCATGTCTCTTAGTCTCCTTTCTAATCCCCCGTGGGGATCTCCCTCCAAGCCAGAAGGCTCTTACCTCGGGCGTGCATTAGGAAACACAGGACTGTCAGGCCATGGAGTCACCACCGGGGTTCCATGCTTTGCTTCAGGAGGCAAAATCCTCAGCGGAATCCCCAACCAAGCGGGTTGTGAGATGCAGCCTCTCCACCCTCCTCCTGTCGACTTCTGGTTTCCCAGCCTGGAAGGAAGGGAGGCGATGTCTTCAAGTGGAAAACATGAACTGAACTGCCAGAAACAAATGGGCTCCCAGCTCCCAGCTCCCAAACTCCACAGCTGAAAACGTGTGGGACCAGTGCGCGCATGCTCAGTCATGTCTTGGAGCCAGCCTACCCCGACCGCCCCAACCAATCTGCAGCAGCGCAGAGGATGGGAAACTGGGGTGGTTACCAAGTGCCAACGGACATCTTGGGCTTCTGGCGGCTGGCACACCTGCTTGGCAAGTCTGCTCGCTGAGGGCGTGGGTGCTGCAGCAAGTTCAAAGTCACCAACCCCGAAACCAGGGAAGACACCGCCCGCCTGCAGTCCTCTTCCTGCAGGACGTCATGGCACAGTGATACCCAGTGGAGATCAACACACACATCAGTGCACAGAGCTCAGCTGAACTCTTCGCTTTTATACCTAACAAATTCAGTGACTTCCAAGAGGCATTCATCATCCTCAGACCTCAGTGGTCTTTGTAGTTGGCAGAACTAATCTTTCAGCAGAGACATGGTTCAGGAAAAGCAGATGACAGATGACACGTGGCTTTTTGTGCCTTTCACTTAAGACTTGTTGGATGTGGCGGAGTGTCCTAGATTTGTGAATTGTGGGTTTTTGCTTTGAGCGTGCAGTATCTAATTAGTTCACGCATTCATTCAACAAACATCCAAGGCATACCTCTCTTTTTCGTTGTTAATTTCAACTTATTTTCTTCCACCTCCACTCCCCACCCCTTTCAACCAATTCTCCTGCCTCAGCGTCCCAAGTAGGTCAGACTACAGGTGCCCACCTGCAGAAACCTCTTGCCCAGCTAATTTTTGTACTTTCAGTAGACACAGGATTTCATCACATTGATCAGGCTGGTTTCAAACTCCTGACCTCAAACGATCCACCCACCTTGGCCTCCCAAAGTGCTGGGATTACAGGTTTGAGCCACCGTGCCTGGCCTTTTTTGTTTGTTGTTTTTTTTTTTTTTTTTTTGGTATTTTTAGTAGAGACCATGCTTTGTCATGTTGACCAGGCTTGTCTCGAACCGAACCCCTGACCTCAGGTGATCCACCTGTCTTGTGCTAGGATTACAGGCATGAGCCACCGCACCCAGCCTCAATTTCAACTTTTATTTTAGATATGAGGGTACATGTGTAGGCTTGTTTACATGGATATATCACACCCAGATAGTGAGCATAGTACTCAACAGGTAGTTTTCCAACCCATGCTTCCTTTCCTTCCTCTGCACTCCTTGTGGAGTCCCCAGTGTCTGCTGTTCCCATCTTTATGTCCACGAGTGCCCAGTGTTTAGCTCCCACTTATAAATGAGAACTTGCAGTATTTCCTTCTCCATTGCTGTGTTAGTTCACGTAGGATAATGGTCTCCAGTTCCACCCACATTGCTGCCAAAGACACGGCTTCTTTCTTTTTTGTGGTTACATAGAATTCCATGCTGCATATGTCCCACGTTTCCCTTCTCCACTCCACCACTGATGGACATTTAGGTTGATTTCAGGTCTTTGGTACCACGGAGAGTGTGGCAATGAAGAACAAGCAATGCATGTCTCTTCTGACTCACACATGTGCTAGGTGTCAGGTATGGAACAAAGAAGAAAAAGTAGGTTTATAGGGCCAGGCGCATTGGCTCAAGCCTGTAATCCCAGCACTTTGGGAGGCCTAGGTGGGTGGATCATGAGATCAAGAGATCAAGACCGTCCTGTTCAACATAGTGAAATCCCGTCTCTACTAAAAATACAAAAAGTTAGCTGGGCATGGTGGTGCACGCCTGTAGTCCCAGCTACTCAGGAGGCTGAGGCAGGAGAATTTCCTGAACCCAGGAGGCGGAGGCTGCGGTGAGCCGAGATAGCACCATTGCACTCCAGCCTGGGTAACAAGAGCGAAACTCCGTCTCAAAAAAAAAATAGGTTTATAACAAGAAACAAACACAAACAGCGAAAGCAGACAATTGCAGTGTGATATTATAGGATGTGAGGGATGTGCACTGAGGTCTTAGGGTACCTAAACTCAGCTTTGCTTTAGAAGAGGTTTCTGCAGAGGGCGGTGATCACACAGGATGGGGAGGGTAAAGGGAGCAGGCTGGGAGGATCGAAGTCCGTGGGCAGAGGAAGGTGGACAGTAATGAGGACACTTAGGAAGAAGAGCCCAGGGCCACTGTGTGGGCCAACCCCGTGAACGTCGTCAACCCACATCTCCCCAAATTCATATGCTGAAACTCGAAACTCCAGTGGGATGGTACTTGGAGATGTAACCCTTGGCAGGTAATTCGCATTAGATAAGGTCATGAGGGTACAGTCTTCGTGATGAGATTAGGGTCCTTATGCGAAACACAAGAGACACCAAAGCTCTTTCTCCACCATGTGAGGGCACAGCAAGAAAGAGGTCGTTCACGAGCCAGAAAGAGAGCCCTCCCTGGGAATCAAAGCCACAAGAGCCTTGATCTCAGACTTCCAGCCTCCAGAACTGTGAGAAGATAACATGTGTTGCTTCATCCACCCAGTCCATGGCACTTGGTTACAGCAGCCCCAGCTGACAAATACACCAGCTACGATGAATTATCTAGACTACTGACCAGTCAACATTTACCCCATTCCTCAGTGACACAGAGAAAAGGCAAATTAGCTAACCTCAACCTCACAGTCCCTGAGGGATGGCTCCTAACAGTCTCTGTGCCCTGGAAGTCACATTGTCTCCACTAATCCATCAGTTGCCTATGCAGGGCTTGGAGAACGATTTCCAACAGCTTCCACGTGTCTGTGGAATGGACCTCAGTGCCGCTGCAATTGGAATGCAACAGTGCAATTAACAAAGAGATCTGGTGCTTTCTTGACCATCAGAGTAGGGTATGAATTTGAACCAACACTCATGGACATCCATCCATTCCATTTTTACAAATAAGCCCATATTCCAAAACCAAGTTGCAATAGATAGTAGGCAATGTGTGAAGAAAGCTGAGCCCAAGCTCTGTTCTGTTTGTACCTCAGTTTATTCCGTAGCTGAATGAACCGTGGAAAGCATAAGATACAGGAAAAACGACTGAAACTCCCATTGATGCCTAGTGTTCCATTATTGGAACGCTGAACATGTGGGAGTTATTCATATCCTACTACTCAAGGTCATCGCCAAGGTCTGATTGCAAAAATTCAAAAAATTGCAACCTCAGGCATAAATGGGTTATTTTTGTTCCTGGCCCTCTGGGTCCACAAGAGGGAAGCCAGACTTCTGGGATCTTAAGACCAGGGCTCTTCTGACAGCTGGGGGTGAGGGGATGGGGGGTGGGGGTGGGGAAAGAAGGCATGGCAGGGGGCTCAACAGCTTAGGGCTGGGCTGGCGGCTTCAGTCACTGCCTGATGAGCCACCCTGACCCAGGTAGGATGAGGTGTTTGAAGCCGCTGTGCTTCTAGGGTTACAAGAAGCTGTATACAGATTCTTGTTCTGCAAGCTGGGGCCCGTGGTTGCTCTATGGAACACTGGAGCATTGAGAGAGGATCCTGTGGTCCCAGATACTCAGTAGGCTGAGGTGGGAGGATCACTCTTAAATGATGAGTTGGAGGTTTTGGTGAGTGACAGTCGCTCCACTGCACTCCAGCCTGGGCAACAGAGTGAGACCTTGCTGAAAAAAGAAAAAAAATTGAGTCCACAACCACGTGCTCCCACTGTGACACATGAAACAAACCTTTTCTTAACCTGTTATGTTAAATTGATTTGTTGGTTAAATTATGTTAATTGTCTCCCAGGTTCAAGCGATTCTCCTTCAAGCATGCTTCAGCCACCTGGGTAAACTGATGTGTGCCACCATGCCCGGTTAATTTTTGTATTTTTAGTAAAGAGGGGGGTTTCACCATGTTGGCCAGGCTGGTCTCAAACTCCTGACCTCAAGTGATCCACCTGCCTCAGCCTCCCAAAGTGCTGGGATGACAGGTGGCGATCCACTGCGCCTTAACAGCAACATCTGTATAAAGATAAGTTACTTGGGTGGATTAAGTTCCTGTGCACACAGGTGTGTGTGTGTGTGTGGTGTGCGTGTGCGTGTCATATGGAGGAATGGAGGAAATGCTCTAAGGCAGTTAGCATCTGCAATTCTAAGCCCTGAGTGGCAGAGTCCACAGAGCAGTTGATGCATTTCGATTCTTTCAGACTCCCCTGACCCTAAAGAGGACTGAAGCTGTGACACCGGCTACAAAGTGGATGGACCTCAAAAGCTGGATCCTGAGTGAAAGAAGCCAGACACAGAAGGATGCATTGTGTAGGATTCCATTTCTTGGAAATCTCCAGAACAGGCAAATCTGCAGAGACAGAAAGCACATTGCCGGTTGCCAGGGGCTGGAGAGATGTGGGAATGAATATATCATGGGTTGTATTATGTCCCCCTAAACTTCCTGTATTGAAGCGCTACCCTTTAGTACTTCAGAGTGTGACTCTGTTTGGAAATAAGATCATTGCAGATGTATTACGTTGGTGCAGAAGTAATTGTAGTTTTCACCATCACTTTTTTTTTTTGAGATCGGGTCTCGTTCTGTTGCCCAGGCTGGAGTGCAGTGGCACCATCTCAGCTCACCGCCACCTCTGCCTCCCAGGTTCAATCGATTCTCCTGGCTCAGCCTCCCGAGTAGCTGGGATTATAGGCATGCACCACCACACCAGGCTAATTTTGTATTTTTTTTTTTTTGAGACGGAGTTTCGCTCCTGTTACCCAGGCCGGAGTGCAATGGCATGATCTCGGCTCACCGCAACCTCCGCCTCCTGGGTTCAGGCAATTCTCCTGCCTCAGCCTCCTGAATAGCTGAGATTACAGGCACGTGCCACCCTGCCCAGCTAATTTTTTGTATTTTTAGTAGAGATGGGGTTTCTCTATATTGGCCAGGCTGTCTTGAACTCCTGACCTTAGGTGATCTACCCACTTTGGTCTCCCAAAGTGCTGGGATGACAGGCGTGACCCACCATGCCCAGCACCTTTTTTTTTTGACACAGTCT